ATGATTTCAGATTCATTCTCAAAGTGCAAATCTGGATATAAAATATGATAAGAGTAAGGAAAAATGTAGCCCCCTCATCCATCCCCCAACCCTCCACTAAGGAGCTGATTTGATTGCTCTCCCTGGCATTTCCACCTCATACTTTAAGATAATCGTTTTTCAGCCGACCTAGCCGAGTCCCGTGGCTCCTGATGGTGAGGGCCAGCAGCTCGTATTTGTCCCTAAGCCCTGTGGAGATGTCCAGCGTTTCTTTCAGCAGGGACTTGGTGTGGACCAGCATCCCCAGGAAGTCCTCGTTGAGCCGACTCTCCTGCAGGCTGTCCTGTTCCTGGCCCTGCTTGAATTTGCTTTCCAGCTCAGTGAGGGACTTGTCGGAGTTGGAGTAGGCATCCCCGATCTGGTGGGACTCCCGCCGCAGGTACTTGCCATAACTCTCTTCCCCATCCAGGTCGTAGGAGATGCTCTTGCTGATGCCCTCCAAGACGCGCCCGGCATCCTCCACCTGGCGGCCCAGCACCGTGAACTCCTCTCGAAGGGTGAGACTCATCAAGCGACTGGCCTGGGTCCCTTCCCCTTGGGAGCAGCGCCGACGGTCACTCACCCGGAAAAGCAGCTGGCACTTCTCGGGGTCATCGTTCTCCTCATAGTCCCCGTCGGGCACGAAGTAGTGGTGCAGAGTCCCATTGGACATTTCTGGGTAGAGAGGGCCGTCAAAGTAGCCCTGACACAGGTGGCAGAGGAAACCCATCCAGAGGAACTTCAGGACCATCATTCTGAAGATTCAGGATGACCAGGGACCCCAGGAGAAGACGCTTTTGTCCAGGAACAAGGAAAGGGGTCCCCTGGGGAGTCAGTGCCTTGCTGAGACAGCCTCCTCCTCAGTCCCCGTCGCCTTGCTGCACCGTGGCCCCTGCACCCCAGCAGGCTTCATGTGGCTGTGGGCGACAGCGCCTGGGTAGCACTGCCCCGCAGCAGCGCAGGGTGCACCTCGCTCTGCGTTTGCTCAGTGGCTGGAGCTCCCGCTCTCTTGCAGCCCAGATGGGATCACAGGGCGGAGGGGAGAAGGCCTCCTGCAGAGCACTGCACGTCGCTGGCTCCGTTGCCCCTTGCTCCTGGGAGATGGAGCGTGCAGCTAGAGAGAGAAGCTCTTGCTTTCTGACACTTTCAACTTCTGGACTGGGTGGGAATACGGAGGGAGCTTTGCCTTTGGCTAAAGATATCCTAAGGATCTCTGGCCTCTCAGATTACAGCTGGTTTCGTCACTTGGAAGCCAGGGAACAAGTTTGGAAAGAAAACCTCTCACCAGGTCTCTGTTATTAAAGGTACAGGGTCTCTTTTTCAAGATTGGAAGGAGACATCCTGAAAAACAGAATTCAGCTTGAAGGGGGAAATGAGAAGAGAAAGAGCAGACTTTCTAAAACAAAAAGAGAGTTTTGCTATTAACATACTGCAGGGAAGTATGCTATGAACATACTCTGGAGAAATATCATTTGGTAAGTTTAAATGAATATCAGGTTGGATTTGTGGAGTACATCTATTTTCAACTTTAAAACAATTGCCTTTGAAAACAACTTTGAAGTGTTGGAAATGGCAGTTTTGCTTACAAATGCTTAGTTAAAATTTATAAAAACAAAACTTTCAGAGCAATAGGACTAGAAAAGTGATTGATACACCATTGATCATAGGCATATGACAAAAAAAAAAAACAACCCTGCAAATGGAATTTTTCCAATTCAATACGTAAAAGGACAACTGAGATCTTTATTTAACTTTTATGGAAAACCATCCATACTGAGCTCCAGTACTGATTCTTTAACCTAAGACTTTACAGCTATTGCCTCTTCTGAAGTACTTTGAAGCTTTTGGAGAATATAGGGTTGGCATAGTTGTCTTCATTTTCCAAAAGGAAATAAGAAAGGGTAGGATGTTAAACAAATTGTTTATAGTCACACAGACTAGTTGAACTATTAAGGTACAGAGTCTTTTAATTTCATTTGGAAGAAATCCTTACTTTTTTCATGAGGCAATTAGTTTCTTGTTTGTGAATTTACTAGCAAATGTCCATTTTACAGGCCATTTATTTGCTCAATAAATGTTTCTTTAGCGTTTATTTTGTGCCAGATTCTATTTTAGGTACTGGGAATGGAGCAGTGAACAAAAGCAGAGACAGATAATTGTCCTCCTAGAGCTTTCATTATGGGAGATGGAGAAACAATCAGTGTAATATAAACAAATTCAATATTTATATGATAGACAGTGATATAGCTGTAGAAAAACAAAACAAAACAGGGAATAGGTGAGAAAGAGAAGCAGCACATCTATTTCTTTTTTGAAATGTAATGGAATGATTCGTGTTGATTGGCCAGTGTTCCCTATCTCTCTCCCTCCTCCAATCATAAAGGACAGGTTTCATTGAGAAACTCAGTGCCACACAGTTCTGAGATTATCCCTCTCATTGCCATTGCTTTTGTTGACCTAAGCCACCTGGACTCCTGGATAAACAAGGGAATTCCAGTTAAGTAACTGGATATTTTTTCAAAGTGCTGTCATATGCATAGATTTTTTTTTTGAAGCATGTTGACTGCACATTTTAATTCTTATTCAGATACTTAGCATCATGCAAACATAGACGAAAGGAGTTTTCTTAGTGTTTTTGCCAACTAGAAAACTACAGCTAATTTTCACCCTTCCTAGCAAAATACTACAACCTCTTCTAGTTTGCAGACTGAACTGGTGGACTCACAAGTTGCATTGCTTCATTCCTTTTTCCCTGGGACATTCACAAGTGACAACAGATGGATTCAAATTGGCTGTTTGGCCAAAGAAGAGAGGAGGAATTTACTCTGATTCACTCCATTCTTGCACAATTCCCCCAAGATTTACTAACCAATTCAATTAAGTAAACTTATTTTAAGCGCTTACTACTTACTTCCTACTTACAGGGTGCATTGTTAATTTGGCTAAAGCTATAATGGTGTGCAAAAAAAAAAAAAATCTACTGGTTGGAGAGTCAGGCATATAGACACATAAAGTCCTGAGAAGCAAAGAACTAAGTGTATTGACTTTCTTTCTGCAATTACCTCATTTAAAGATACAACTGCCATGTCATGTATAAGTAAAAGAAAGCAAAGTTTACTCCGATTAGAGGAAAAGGGAAATTCATTGACTCACATAAAGCCTGAGATTAGATTTTCAGACAAAGGCCTGGTCCAGAATTTAGTTCTTTCACCATTTCTTGGTTCTGCTTCTTCAGCTTATAATCATTCTTGGGCAGTCTCTTTCATTTGTGGTTCCAAGATGATTATCAGTGTCCTTGGAGGCTACATGCTCCCTTATTCATGACCAGCAGGAATGAATGACAGGTTGAATTTCCTGACAGTTCAATTTCAAGCAACTTGAATCAGACTCAGTGCCCACAATTGGCCTGATTTAGATCACGAATCCATCCTTAGATTTACTATGGTCAAACACTTTTGATAAACCACTTGACTGAAGAAAATAAAGGCCCATTTCTGTAGCTGAGGTCAAGGAAACATACAAGCTCTGTGGCTGGGTAGCTTAAGGTCCTGTTTAGGAAAGGAACAGTTTGAGAATAAATTTGAGGAAAGTACTATAAATATTCTCTTTACCCCACATCTTTGTCTTCATTAACCATCTGGAAGACATTGCTACCCTTTTAAAGTAGTATGTTATTAGGTGTTTAGCAGCTGGCTGTATGTGGGTGGTGGGATTGTCATCTGTAGGATTTGCTAATTTTCATAGTGTAAATACTCTTGCTGTGGCCAACAACACTCATGCAAGTTTGGGAAAATATGTTCAATTATGCATCATTACACAGCCTTCCCATCATGCAGATAGATTAGATGCAGATAATCCCAAGAGAATAGAAAATAGTAAGCATCTAGTAGTTAGAAAACTAGAGTTTTGCATATGTATTTCTTTTGTTTTAATATGGTTTAATTAATTATAAGTTTAAATGGTTTGAATTTTAGTAATGGCTATGTTTAACAACTGACATTCAAAATTCTTGAATATCTAACAATTAACCTCAAGAGTCAGTGCTAGCCATCTCTTAGCATACTGTGTGTGGCCTTTTGGTTTAACATTTCATTTTGTTCACTATTAGGTTTTTATAGTAATCCATTCATATGTGCCCAATTCCACTTTGGGCTAGTGTGCTAAGGTCAGAGCTAAGGCAGACTTTTGAGGATTGACCTAGAATATACAGAGCCAAAGGAAATGTCCCAAAACAGACATGCCAAACAGAGGACTTGGAAGAGTAAAGTCAAGAAGTACAATCTGCTGATAGGAGCAAGAGTTGAGTCTAAGACTGAAAACTGGAGACACAGAGGAAAAAACAGGAACTGGATAAATGTAAGCATAAAGGATGACCTTAGTAGCTGTGGCTGGAGTAATACAAGTAAATAAACACCATTACCCAGTATCAGCTGTTCACATGTAATTCCTGCTACATGGTGCTGGCAAGGTTTACTAGCTTCAGATTTGCTTCTGCTTTATCATTTTCAGTGCATTTTGAATCTTGTTCTTTTGGACCAATTATCGTTTTAGAGGGGGAAGCAGGAATGCAGTTTGACACTATGAGCTTAAGGCTCTCTGATTTTCCCTGGTTCAAAAGCTTTTGAGGTCTTCTTACTGCTTGAGATTATGGCAACAGTAGAACTTTTATAGAAATGGGGCTTCTATGCAGTAAGCAATAAAGAGAGTTTGAGGGATTGGGTCCCACCATGTAGCCTAGAAATGTAAAGGAGGCTCTGAATGATGAAATCCCTCACTCCCAACATCTCAAAAATTGTAAGGCTGAGTCCCTGGATCCATTCGAAGAAGAAAAAAAGGAACAAAAGGTGTAATTCTGGATGACAACAGGGGCTCACTGAAATGGGAGGAAAGGGGAAAGGGAGAAGATAGAGAAGATTTAGAGAGGCCTATCATTTTAGCACACTAGTGATTATTTGTAATCAAATGAAAGATAACCTGTGGTAGTCATTAAGTAGTCATTGCTTGCAAAAGGTAAGGACAAAACAACAACAACAACACCAAAAAAAAAAAAAAAAAAAAAAGGAGAGAAAATTAAGGAAGGAAAGGAGATAGCAGAAAAGGAAGAAAAGAATAAAATAATTTTGGTAGTCTGTTTTATTTGTTACATTAACTCAGTGAAGTGGTTATTATATTTATTAGAAGATCATTGGTTGAGGCAAGAAGAAATCTAGCTAAAAAGAATAATCCACATACACACACACCCACAAAACAAACAAACAAACAAACAAAACAAAACAAAGTTAAATATCTAACAATCAATAAAACACACCCTTAGAAATTTATTTACAAGGAAATAAAGACACTGTGGGTAGAAAGTGTGATCATTTCTTACCATCTTTTTATATTAGTGAGGATGTGCTATGCTGTGCTTTTGTAATAAACATCACAGAAACGATGATAAATTCAATTTCTCTGCAGGTCCATGTAATTTAGCAACTCTTCCCTACATGGCAACTCATTTGCACCATCGGAAACAGGAGGCATCCTTGGTTGATTTTGCAGAGAAGGGGGACCCTGGAGTCTTGTGCTGCACTTAAAATGCATTGACTCAGAAGGGACATATGTCCCCTTTGCATATAGCCCATTGGACAGTGACATGACCCTGTCTAGGTGCAAAAAGTTCTCTCTCAGTTTCCTGGCTGTCATGTCTTGAGCCACTTTCCTTCTGCCATAGTGTTCTGTCTCACCTTGAGCCCAGAACTATGGAGTCAGCACACCATGGACTGAACCTCTGAAACTGTGAGCC